TCTGTAGTTGGTGATAACTCTCTTTGGAGTCTTTCACATTCCTCGTTGAGTTTAGTCTTTACCATACTTTGTATATTTTCTTATATATATTTTCTTAATTTAGCCACTAGTAGGTTGTGATCCGATGGAACATCTGCTCCTGGGTATGTTCTTGTATCCGTTACTGCATTTTTATATCGCTGGTTTATAATAATGTAATCGATTTGATTTCGGACACAATTGTTTTTATTATCTGCGGGTGATTTCCACGTATATAGCCTTCGTAGTGGTAGCTTGAACCAGGTGTTCATGATAGTTAGTTGTTTCTCCTAGCAAAATTGTAGTAGTCTGTCACCTCTATCATTGCGATTGCCCAGTCCGTAATTTCCACAAATATGTTCCACTTTTCCACAACCCACTTTGGCATTAAAATCTCCTACGATTAATGTTGTTTCATAACTCTTTGTCGTTTTAAGTAATTCTTGGAGATTCTCATAGAACTGCTCTATTTCATCATCCGACTTGTCAGCAGTTGGTGCATAAACTTGGAGTATGTTTATGTTTACGGGCTTACTCTGTAATTTCAAAAGAAGCATTCGATCAGAATAGGGTATGAAATCAATTACTGCTTTTTTATCTGCTCTGTTACTATAAGGCCTACATCATTCCAGTGTCTCTGCTGTTCGTTCCCCGAGTAGTATATTGTGTAGTCATCGATGGATACATTTCCAGAACCAAACCATCTCATCTCACTTATACCTAGTATGTCCACTCCAAGTCTTTTCATTCTTTGCACCCCCTGACCACTTAAGGTCTGCCGCGGACTAGGGGCCGTTAAATTTTTGTTTTGCATAGGTTACTTTACTAGGGAAAATATAGTGCAGTAGTTTCCCGTTGCTTTCTGCACCGCAGTATCACAACCGGTTAAATCATAATTTGATTACCGCCCGTGACTATCCGGTATCAGACCGATACAGAGATCTTGTCTCTACCGCTCTGATCCTGTAATGACATAGCTGCTGCCCTATGCCATGCTCTCAGTTGATCCGCGTGTGTTTATTTGGCAAAGCCTTATTCGCACCTATCCTACATATCTGTAGGACGTTCCCTATCAGCCATTGGGACGCGCCGTGTCGGGGTTGAGAGCTGCCCCCCTCCGAGTGTGTTTTCCAAGAAGTACTGAGAAGCCCCTACTCAGTTCAGAACCTCTCCTTCTTAGAAACTAACACCGGCACGGGATATCTAAATGCTATCACGATATCTAAATGCTATCACGAAATCTCAAAGTCTTCCTTGTAATTGTCCGGGACATGCGTGGTAAAAGGAGAATGTCTATGTTCAATTTAGAATTCGCTGTTGTCTCTTTTGCTTTGGGCATGTATATTACTATAACATATAACAGCAGGAGGAGTATATGAAAATATATTTAAAAAGTATAATGAATAAAGAAATTATACAGAACATACAGAAGATTATATAAATCCCTAATATTCACAAATTAAAATATGCGTGATAAAGATACAAAAAAATCAATATTTATAAAGAAGATTGCTTTACAAAAGGCTAAACGAACTAGCGAACATTATTTTGATACAAATTGTGGATATCTATATCATCATCATCATCATCTTTGGCTCGACAATCCTCTGTGGATCTTGGCCTGCTCTAAGATTCGTCGCCATTCTGTTCGGTTTTTGGCAACATGTTGCCATCTTCTGATTTTTAATATTCGTAAGTCGGTTTCCACTCCATCTAACCACCTAATTCGCGGTCGGCCTTTGCTTCTTTTTCCTACAGGTGTTCTTGTGGTTAGCATCTTCTGCGCCACTGTCCTTGGTCGTTTACAGCTCCAAATATTTTGCGGAGTATTTTACGCTCAAATATTCTCAAAAGTCTTTCATCTTTCTGCGTTAGAGTCCATGTTTCTGCTTCATATGTGAGGACCGGCCTCAGCAATGTTTTGTATATAATAATTTTAGTTTTTCTTTGAATGTTTCTTGAGTGGAAATGCTTTTGGAGTCCATAGTATGCCCCATTTGTAAGATTTATTCGTCTTTTGATTTCTTCGCTTGTTTTATTGGTAGCAGTCAATAGCGACCCAAGGTATGTGAAGTTGTCAACCAAAATGGATATATATATCATCCAACCTAAATCGCTTAAAATAAAAATATTAAATAAATAATAAATAAAAAATATGATACGAGAGGAGAGACCAATGCCTTTTAAAGCTAATTGCCAAATAAATATATAATCGGTTCACAATTTGTCGATAGCTCACTACAAATTTAACCTTAATTAGAGAAATGAAATACAGAGAGGATAGGTAATACGATATAACAGTAAAAACCAACCTGAAACTGACGGCTTAAGATGTTTTCGACTAACCCACCTTGTATCTGAAGGAATACAATACGGCAGTCAATCTTTTAATCCGATTAAGAAGGTATTTTATTTACAGCTGACCGACCAGTGTCGGAGAGTATATGATTGAAACATTTATTTGAACTAAATAAATATATTTTTTAAATTTTACTTATGTAAATTGTATTTTTGTTTTAATAAAACTTCTTTATTTCATTCAAAAATAAAAAGTTTATTGCCATTTGTAAAAGATACATTAATTTAATTAAGGGGAAAGGCGCCAAATGTCGCCTGGCAAAATTTTCAATGTGTTTTTAATGTATCCATTATTTTCGAATCCGGAGAAAACTAATAAATATTTTTGAAAAATTTAAACGCAGAATGAAAGATTACATTATTACTGAAAGCAGAAAGCCCTGAAAACTTCTACAATGTCTATTTTAATATGTTATGTAACAGGGGTGAAAATAAAAGAGAAAATATAGTATAATTTTTAATTGAAAATATTGCATGTAAAAGAAACTTTTTATTTATTCACGATGATTCGCAGCATTCTAACATATGAAGCAGAAAATTGGGTCTTAAACAAAAGTAGCAGAAACAAAAAAAAGACACCTTAAATTACATTGAAGAAAAAACATTAACGTAGTACGGACATATCAGACGAACAGATCCAAACTGATGGATAGCAAAAATAACAGAGTGGAGCCCCATAGGCAAACGCAGAAGAGGCAAACCAAGAAAATCTAGTAAATCATAGTAAATTTTAAACATAGCCATCTGGAAAACTAGAACACATAAGAGGCCAGAATGGAAGAAAAAGAAAACCGTAGATTACGGCAAGACTATGAACTCATATATCGAGGAATGTTCCAAAAAAACTTATTAACATTAAATTATTCATTTGGTAATTAGAAAAGTACATATAGAACGTGCCACTTACTCGAAATTCCTTCAAAAAAGTATTAGATCATACTATAATTCATTAGTCGTGAAAGAAACACAACTTTATACCCAATAATTACACATTTATAATCAATTACCTCAGTAACTTTGATCTTACTTTCAAGCTGTGTTCTGAATAATTAAAAAAAAAACTCCCAACGAAGATCAACCCCAATTTTATTAAAGTTTTACTTTAATTATTACTTATAATTAAACCTACATGTGACCAAAGGGTATAAAAGAGTAGATACTAATCGAGTACATCTGTATTAAAAACCATGAAATTTTTTACAGTCTCATTAATACTAAGAATGTTTAAGATAATCGGTGTCCACCCAAAGGGGCATCGAAATCCGATACAACTGTTTCTGTTTCTTATGAATTCTTTTGTTTATTTAAGTACGATTTATTTGTGCTTTTTGGTTTTTGTATTTGAAAAGAATTTGGATTTATTAAAAATAACCGACACTCTGGAATCCTTGATTCTACTTTTTCATGTAAGTATACAATATGTAAATGTGTCTATATCTATTTAAAAATCGGAGGGAAATTTATAAGCTTGATTTACACCAAAAAAAAGTTACAATATTACCGTAAAATGGGGTGAAATTGATCACTCTAAAATTATTGATTCAAAAATATGATAGTAAGTTGTAAAATTCACTACATATTATTTACTAATATGATTCAACAAGATCTACTTATATTAAATATTTTTCTATCTTCTGTCATTCTATTCATTTTCTGTAACAATAAAACACTGAACACTTTGTTTTCAAACTTCCACAATAATTTATTTTAACTCTTATCACTACAGCTGTTTCGGCTGATTGCCTTTCTCAAGTGATCTATGTTTGGCATGCGTTTACACTTTATAGTCTCTAATGAAATAGGTTGAGGAGGGGAGAACTGTTGGTCTCAAGTTGATTTGTTGATTTGCATAGATTCTAACAAGGATAGCTTAAGGCCTTTATTTTGAATGTGAAGAATTTGAAATTCGTCGTTAAAAGAATGATTGTGATCTAGAATATATTCTAAAGAATTCCATTCTTTAAGAAAGAATGGAATTCCATAGAATTCCATAGAGAAATAAAGAGAAAGTTGTTCCAACAACTTTCTCTTCGCACTTTGTTTTTAACCAATTTTGGCTTTTCGTATTTCAGTTCTTATTTGTCTCTGATTATTTTTGTACATTCTTTTGTTATTCTTTGATTTTCTTTTTTCGTCCGTGAGTTGCAGTATATTGTTATTCATCCAACTCTTCCTCTTCTCTTCATTTTCCATTAGATGTTCTTCTCTGATCTTGTTTCTCATATATTTTAGAGTAATTTCTCTGGAACATATGTTTTCTCCATGATACTTAGCTTTTCTGAAAGAACCCATGTGACCGTCTCCTTTCTTTCCTTATCTTTTAGTATTCTCATACCACATTTTTTGTTACTATTCTTTTTTGTAACCTTTTTAAATCTAAACCTTAATTTTCCAATAACAGGAATATGATCTGATGGTACGTCAGCACTGGATCCATTACGGAATCTCTTTTTCACCATTATGTAATCAATTTAATTCCTTATTATGTTTCCTGGTTGATCTTGCGGAGAGACCCTAAGTATACAAAATGTCTTGGTGGTAGTTTCATCTATATTACAAATACAGCAAATAAATTAAATACATCATATTAATTACACCATATTAATCTAACCTTTTAATTCTAGGGACTTTTAACATTGGTAGCTGCGTATATGAAGCATGCAGAGATATTAGATTTGATACGTGATATGAAAAATTTTTGGGAACTGGACGATGTACGGGACGAAGATGAAAGAAACGCTAACTTCGCTATATTGAAAACAGTCAAAATCATATTTATTTACTTTTTAGGTTTTGCCGTAATACCGTCATCGTTTTTTTACTTCAGACCATTCATTTTACGAAAAAGGGTGTTAGCGTTCAATAGTTATATTCCTGAGAGTATCCCCTACCCTTTATTGTATCTTCTTGAAACTTACGCATTTGTTGTGATAGATTTTTCTTGCATGGCTTGGGATGGGTTCTGCGCAACCGTCATCATTTTGGCATATGTGCAATGGCGAATCTTAAATCGAGAAATTAGAAGAGTGTTGGAACTCAAAATTGAAAGTGAAGAAGATAAGGAAACGATGAAGAAGAAAGTGAAAAGATGCATCGATCACCATCATTTTTTATATAGGTATTTTATAAAGCATTATAAAAAGAACGTACATTATTATTTCGGGAATGGTTATTATATAAGGGGGTCAACAACGTTGGCCACTTGCTATATCTTGAAAATAACCAAGATAAAGCGACGGGAAAAAATTTTCATAATTAATCGACCATCACAGAATTACAGAATTTGTTTTGGATATATTGTTGACGCTTGTTTCGGGCAGTAGTGTTTGATTTAACTTTATTTCAAAAAATTTAAACCTTCCTTTTTAAGTCTTTAATCATAATAGTACTAATCTTCAATTGATTTTTTATTCGGTTTCATGTATCGTATATATTGTTCCCCTTCTTAAGCTCTGGCGTAACTTGGTAACTTGGTTCATTTTGATACAAATTTAAAAATCAAAAATAACCTCGTTTATCCATTCCATTGTTTAGTAGTCCGCGATAAATACAAAAATACCTTCCCTTCAAGAATTAATTACGTTTTATGAAAATAAATATTATTAACAGATTTTTTCTACGTTTTATTCAATATTATTATTATTTTTATTTTGTTTTCGTGGTAAATAAGTTTATCACACACGCAATGACACAACCACGGAACATATCTATTAACGTAATTTTCAGACCCCGACTAAATTTTTGATACGGCAACTACGCATTTGTGACACCCGCGATTAAGTATCTCTCCTATCCATGGGCGCCGACTTGCCAAAAACTTTGGGGGGGCTTAATCTCCTCGGTGGAGGGTGTATGAAAACATTTTTAGACTAGATCTTTATACATGCCAAAGATTAGTAAGCTAGAGAGCAAAATCTGGATCTTTTCCGTTATACGTATACTACCAATTATTTCTATTACGTACATCGCGCCGCGGCGATTAGGTTAGTTTCAGGTTATTATATCCTTATCCCTTAAGGTCAATTCAGACACATCAGTCCCGTCATAGTCTCGGCGCCGAACCGGTCCTGTTTGGTCACAGAACTATCAACTATCTGACAGCTGGGAAACTGTTTGTCAACTGATGAGTGTGAATGCCGGCAACATATTTGTATTAAAGAATATTTTGTATGACGGATTGTTCGGTTCGGCGCAATCACTGTGACGAGACGTGACTGATGTGTCTGAATTGACCTTTAATCACTAAGATATGATAACTTGAACCTAACCTAACCGCCGCGGCGCGACGTAAAACGGGTGGTATACAATAACATTTGTTTAAATGTTGACTAAAAAAATTCATAAAAAAGCAAAAATCGACTTTTTGTTGAGCGTATAGCATTATTTGAAAGCTTGTGTTTTGATTGATTGTTTAAAAATTTTTAAGTGCAGATGGCACATTGTTATTGTTAAAGTTTTTCTTTCATAATAACAACGGTTATTATTACCAGTAAACCAATTAACGTTACGTTTACTTTTAATAAATATGTCCATCGTCTGTAAATTTTTTTATTGTTGAAAAATATTCTTACTTTACTTATCCTTTTAAACGAATAATTTTCTTTGAATTCAAAGTTAGATTCTATATAAGGCTACATTTTATTGTTAGTTTGTATTCCTTTTTGGCAAATATCAAGTATGAAAGAAAAAATAGGTAACAAAACTAACATAAAAGGGTTCAAAAGCTATTTATTTTAGATAAAGGTAACATAAGTTGCAATTTACATTAAATTATTGTAACTTGTATTGAAATCATATAATTAGTATTAAATGAAATTATTGTAGCCTGAATAACAAAATAAACTAACTAACAACTGCTTATTTTTTAGTTTGGTAAACTGCCAATGTACGGTCATATAAGGAAAAATAAACATTTCCAAAACTGTCTAAAAAATACGTACTTTAAGAAGGTGAAGTTTTATTTGTCGGAAAAGTCGAATTTCCCGTAGAAAATGAAACTAAAAACTAGGCATACAAATGATTTAGATGTTCTTGATTTTTTAAACATAAATTATTATAGAATAACGGAGTCCAAATACTTTTTTAGGGCGCGATGTATATATGGGGTGGTATACAAATAATGGAAAAGATCATTTTTGTATTCTTGAGATTTTTTGTTCTAAAAGTAGGTACATAAAGTTCTTAGATAGTTTTGGACATTTTCATCTTTTTCCGCATTTGAACGTACATCGGCAGTTTTACCAAACTAAAATATAAGCAGTTGCAAAAAAAAAACTGTCATTAAAAATCATAAAATAACATGTAAATTGAAATTAGGATAACATCGAAGTTGAGGGTTTACCGGAAATGGCGGAAAATTGCAGTCTATCCTTAGAAGAGTGCAAAACAGGATCTTCTAACATGATTTCTTTTAATGAACTCGTTGATGACTGGACGAATGTCTATTTCATCCAAAATATCTTGATGGGCATGAGTAATTGCTAAGTTGTTGAGTCTCTTCTGTCCCATGGTAGCTCTAAGGTACGTTTTGAGACGCCGTAGGGCACTAAACGAACGTTCGTTAGTTGCTGACGTCACCGGCACAACTTGAAGCAGCTTCAAGCATTTCACAAGTTCCGGTAACATTTCCTTTACACTAGGTTCTAGTACAAAGAACTTTTTAACGTCGTTTAATGTATCAAGTTGCACATTCTTTTGTTTCGAAATGTCACCCAGCATTGACAAATGTAAGAGTAACCTGTCAGTGTCCAGATCATTTTGAAAAAGCTCTTTAGAACGTGTCATATCACTTTGTTGTCCTTTCTTTAGAACCGAAAGACACTCCCTCTCCACTGCAATCACTTTCAACAGTCCTGTTGAGTCGAATCTACTGGTAACACAAGACTTGACAGTTTCACAAATTTCGATGTATACGACTTTAAAATATTCAGCTGGTGTGTTGAATGTGTGGGGTGGTCCAGCCTCCTTGTTTTCGTAGCGTTGAGGAACGCGGCATTTCCGTGCTAGTTCCGGTTCACCTACTGATGGTGGCTTTACTTGTAAACAAAACTTCCAGAAGTCTTCAAATCCTCCACGCTTTTCTTCCAAAATACAGGCTAGGTTAATGAACATATCTTCTAAATCAGTTACGCTCAAATCAGGTGATTGAACTTTACGATTTACCTCTTCCACTGGGTTCATTACATAGCAATAAAGCTGTAAAAACAAGTAAGTCTTGAATTTCAGCATAGATTCCAAAAAACCTGCACATTTATAACCTGCGTCGTTCTTATTCGAGGAAGAGATGGTTTCAAACAACTCCAGAATACTTTCATAATTTTTCAAGATTTGTTGCACACTTGATGCTCTCATTGTCCATCGTGTTGGGCAAAGCGGTCGAAGTCCTACTTTATCACTTAGACTGGTAGCATTGGCACTGCTTACACATCTGAATATTTCCATCCTTTTAGGGGATTCTCTAACATTATTAATTATATCCTTTGCAAGGTTCATTATGTCTCTCATACAAGTCAGGCACCGAAGACTGTCTTCAACTGCTAAATTGAGGCTGTGGGCAGTACAGTGAACGTAAATGGCCTGATCCTGCACGTTTAAAATTAACTGTTGCAGTCCGTTGAATTTTCCACTCATATTGGAAGCGCCATCGTAACACTGTCCTCTCAATTTTTCCATAGACAAATCCAAACGTAAGAGGATGTCCTTGACAATACTGAACAGAGTTTGGGATTCAGTGTTTGGGGTTTCATATAGTCCAATAAAATCTTCATTGATGGTCAAATCATCATTTACTGTCCTGATACAAAATGATACCTGTTCGTGAATTGAAACATCACTAGTTTCGTCCACCATTATGGAAAAGTGCCCACATTTCTTCACGTTAACTAAGACCGAGCGCAAAACAGACTGACCTAGCAAGTCAATTATTTCATTTAGAATATCGTGGGATGTCCACTTATAACCCGAACGATTTAGCCAGTCTTTTAGTTCTGGGACGTCTTCTTTCCTAAGTTCCAAGAGTTGCAAAAAATTTGAGTTTATATCCTCATGTCCTCTAATTGCTAGACCTTGTCGGCATAGGAATTTTAAAGTTGTGAAAATAGCAGTTAACGCTAAACGGGCTTTTTTCATATCATTATTCATGTGTTCATTTAACTGGGCAGCTACGGTTGAGTTTGAAGCAGTTGACAATTTAAGAATACCCTCCTTGTGGACATTTGTAGTTTCATGAGTGCGAAATTTTTCCAAGGCCCTTTTCCAGTTTGAAAAGCCGGCAGAAGTAAACGCATCTTCTTTCTTTAAAGTAAACTTTATAAGGCCTTTCGCTTCTGCCTCTTTGCAAACTTTACAAAATGCTTTGTCAGTTTGTTTTTCATATTCTAACCAAGAATATTTGGTTAACCATGACTTTTGAAAGGATCTTCCCTTACCCTTACCGATGATATTATGGTTGCTGCTGCTGCTCAAATTTAAGCTGTTACTGCTGGCAGACGTTCCAGATACCGGAACAGATGATTCTAGTGCTGGGAGTGGAGTTGTGATCCTATCAACACGCGCCTTTTTAAATACAAACTTATCCATATTGTATCACTTTACAATAATTCACACTCAAACACTACTCACTGCTTACTATCAATCACATCATTCACATAAACATATAGAAACACGACGTAAACTAACTGCTTGTGACCGTGCAAACGGAACAACGGAACTGATTGCAAGAGCCAGAGCCGACAAGACAACCGAGGCGGTAGACAGTACGTTTGTTTTGTTTACAAAGAGCGCGCTAGGGGTGTCTGTAACTCATCCCTCCTCCCACCACTCCACGGCCAGCCAGGCGGCCACAACTTCAACGCAGTGACCTTGGAAAAAGTCACGTAGGCAATCTATTTATAACTTGCTAACTGGTGGAGTGGCGACAGGTAGAGCTACAAGTTGCGGTTTTTATTTTTATAATGCTTTTACTAAGTATTAATTACTTGCAAACACGTGTTAGAACACATTTACTAATAAACTAAGTTTGCCAATATCATTCTGCTTATATCATCATGTCCAATTTGATAATAAAGTAAATATGGTTTAAAATTACATGAATAGGCATTTAAAACCTTAGTACATGTATTTAATTACCTTCTAAGGATTTAAATTAATAGAAAGATTAATATGATGTGAATTAGGTTTATTTAAAGTAAATTAAAGAAATACTGAAATGCAAATTTCTGAAGTATTAAATGTCAATGTCATTAAAATAAAATGGATGACAACTTAACAGAACTTCAGTATTCCGAATTATCGCGAACTTACATTGGCGGAGGTTAATTCTCTCGTTCATTTCCATGAGATTGTTCTTTTCAGCACATTCTGCGGCAATCAAAAATCTGTTTCCGATGCTTTATATACTCTTTACTCCTTCGAAATTTAGGGGGGGCTACGCCCCCCTAAATTATTTTTGAGGGGGCTTGAGCCCACCCAGGCCTTATGGAGTCGGCGCCCGTGCTCCTATCTCTCTTAGAATAATTCCTTTTCTATTTTCGCGCAGCTCACCCGCCAGCTCTCACACCCGTCGGTTAATACCGCACCTTTAAGGTAGATTTAGACACATCAGTCACGTCTCGTCACAGTCCTGGCGCCGAACCGAACAATCCGTCATACAAAATATTCTTTAATAGAAATATGGGGCCGGCATTCACATGCATCAGGCGACAAACAGTTTCCCAGCTGTCAGATAATTAATAGCTCTGTGACCAAACAGGACCGGTTCGGCGCCGAAACTGTGACGAAACTGATGTGTCTGAATCGACCTTTAATGTTACCTACTCTCGATGGATATGATGCACCAGCACATACGTGGACGGACAAGACATTTCCCACGGTGCGTGGGTGCGAGCGAAAGAATAGTTATTCTGAGTATAACTTACACTTGAATTTATTCCAAGTATGACCTTTCGATGGGAGGAATGGAAGGGAAAGTGGAAGGAAGAAGAGGTCCAGGAAGAAGAAAATGCTCCTGGTTGAAGAACATAAGAGACTGGACAGGCATGGACACACATGCGATACTAAGAACAGCTCAAGATAGAGAGCAATTTGCTGTAGTTATAGCCAACCTTCAGTAATGGAGAAGGCACCTTAAGAAGAAGATGACCTTTCGAGCGTTCTACATTGTGAAATCGACAGCGGAATAGTTATTCTGAGCACAGAATAATAAACAATCAGAATGCTCACTCTCAGATGCCGCCTTTAAATTTTTTCAGCACGCGCGCCATGTTTTAGAAGGAAACACATAACACAGACATATAATGTGTGAGGTTATGTAATTGTTTATATTTATGTTTAATTATATTATATTTATGTTATTATATTTAACAATGTTAATATAATTGTATAGTATGTCTATTGCCGTAAGTCAATTAAACCGGGTTAATTTTTCTATGCACACCACATAAACAACACTGGTTCCCTCTAAAACATGGCGGAACGTCTGCGCGAACGAGATGCGCGTACTTAATTTTCCATGGAGAGTGGGCATTCTGATTGTTTAGTATTCTGTGTTCTGGGTATAACCACAGAACACTAAGGTAAAACGAAATAGTAGATCTGATATCCTCAAAATTAGTTCAAATTCTTATGGTGACATTTGGCAGTTGTCATAACTGTAAAAATTTGTTTACAATGGAAAGTACATATTTTATCTACTTTATTTTTATCAAGTAATTTAACCTACGTTTATATTATTATACTTTGCAAAATGAATATTTATAAAATGGATAAAAAAAGGTGTAACAATTTTACATATACAGAAATTGAATTCAATTGCTACATAAATATATATCTAATTGGTTCATACCGAATTCTAAAAGTTTTTGGATGCCTTAGCCTAGGTATTCCTTCTTCAAAATCTTCAT